CTGCAGTCGCTGCACTAATTGAATGTCTCCTGTGCGAAAACCTCTGGATTTAGTGTGTTTAGAAATGTGTAAGACAATGATTTGTCCAGGAAAAAAGAACTATTCTGGGACCTGCAGAAAGTAGGTCCTGAAATAAGAGGAAGAGATGTAGAGTGGTTTGTACCATCCTACCGTGCTGAAGGCTCACTCCTGGTATGAGCTGACTGTGAAGGTCAGAGAGGCTTTGGGGACTTAAGAAGGAAGGAGACTTCCACAATGGAGGGAATAAACTGAGGGGAGTTTATGTTTGAGACACGTGTGTTTGTGTTTCTCGATGAAGGTCCCAACATCAATCAAGCCATAGATCAGAGTGGAACGGGTTAGGTGGGTATGTGTGGTGTAGGTGCAATGAGAATAACCAGATTATAAATAAAGAAGAGGAAGATGGGGCCAGACAGAGTAACTTATTTAACTGAATGAAAAGAGAAAAGAAAGGAAAAAGACAAAACTAAACTCTTACCTCCAGATTTTAAAGAAAAGGAGTGTGAATTCTTAAGTATTGGGTCCCTGGGTGACTTTTTAAAGTAGCGTGTTTCTACCAGGGAGGGCTGGAGCTCCTGGTGCAAGCTCTTTTATCCCAGCTCTAATGAATGGACCTAAGACTATGGGGCTGCTGGCCTGGGAGCTCTACAATAAGTCTCTGACCTATTTCTTCCTTTACACTGCAGTTGTCCCACTCAAAACTGCCAGGATTAGAGCCAAAGTCTTGACTCTCTTGCCTTCTCCCATCTGCCAGGACTGTTTCTTCCCTGTTTCCATTCACTATGCCTCTTATTTTGGTAGCCAGGAAACCCCCCTGTTATTTTTGCCTTTCAGGTAAGGTAATGTGTTAAAAGCAGGGATTGGGGGCCAGTTTTTGCAAGAATGGAATCCTTATTTAAATTGATTTAGAACGTTCAAATCTTAGCACTACCAAAACCCCACAAAAATTTGTCTGTGGAGGAGCTAAGGTGAAGGGGAGGCTGAGCAAGTGATTGGACTATGTGAGACATGGATTTGTCTTGGCTGGTAGAAGACTTTAGCATTTCACACCTTTTAGAAGGAAAATGTGCTAACTTTCATTTTTTAGCTCCTCCTTCCTTCCTTCCTTCTTCCTTCCTTCCTTCCTTTCACTTTCTTTCTTTCTCTCTCTCTTTCTTTCTTTCTTTCGCCAGTCCTGGGGCTTGAACTCAGGGCCTGGGTGCTGTCCCAGAGTTTTTTTTTTTTTTTTTGGTTTTGTTTTTCTCAAGACTAGTATTCTACCACTTTGAGCTACAGTACCATTTTGAGTTTTCTGGTAGTTACTTGGAGATAATGATCTCATGGACTTTCCTGCCCAAGCTGGCTTTGAACTGCAGTCCTTAACTCTCAGCCTCCTGAGTAACTAGTATTATAGGTGTAAGCCACTGGAGCCAGGAACATTCTTTGTTTTTATTTCTTTTTGTTTGTTTTGTTTTTTGTTTCTTGGAGTTTTTCTTTTCTGTGCTTTGGATTGAACTCAGGGGAAAATCTTTTTTTTATTTTTTTGGGTCCGGTTGTGGGGCCTGAACTCTGGGCCTGGGCGCTGTCCCTCAGCTCTTCAGCTCAAGGCTAGCGCTCTACCACTTGAGCCACAGCGCCACTTCCAGCTTTTTTCTTTTTGCTTATGTGGTACTGAGGAATCGAACCCAGGGCCTCAGGCATTCAAGGCAAGCACTCTACCACTGAGCCAACTTCCCAGCCCCTCAGGGGAAAATCTTTACAACGAAACAGCCTTGCCTTCTTTTCTGCCGAGCGCACGCGCGTGTGTGTGTGTGTGCGCGTGCGTGTGTGTGCGTGTGTGTGTGCGCGTGTGTGTGTGCGGGTGCGTGTGTGTGTGTGTGTGTGTGTGTGTGCACGTGCGCCAGTCCTGGCGTTTGAACTCAACCTAGATGCAGTTTATGAGATTTATTATTTATTTTTTGGTCGGTTGTGGGGCCTGAAATCTGGGTCTGGGTGCTTGCTGTCCCTCAGCTCTTCAGCTCAAGGCTAGTACAGGTGGGGTGGTATGCACAAATACCTCAGTGATTTCCCTGGAAACCACCATGTGTCTTGAGGTGAGTCAGGGATTTCATACACTGCAGCTGCTTCATCAGAGCCCAAGTTACCGCTGTGCAGGTCCCTGAGAATAAACAGCAAAGAAAAGTCTCCTAGTTCTTCAGTTTACCCAGTGAGTGTTTTTCTGGCTTCTTTTGTCGCTGGGCCCTGCTTTCAGAAAGTAGGTTAGCCCTGCGTGGTGGTAGAGGGATAGTGGCTTCCTGAAGAAGTAGACCAGTTACATAAATGTAGAGATAGCATCAGGCATTAAGCATTAGTCCTTAGGAGACTTCCTAGCCATTTCCTGTGGAGGAGTAGAGGTGGAGTCAGAATTTAGAAGTAGGTATTCAAGCCAGCCAAGGTTTCTTTTGTAAAGGATGCTGTTAAGGGCTCGGAGCAGCGTAGCTGAAGGTGTGTATGGACAAGATTGATGAATGTTCCTGTATTCCTGACCTTACACCAGACCAGGTAGAAAATGTCATGTGTTCATGTGTGGCCATGTAGTCAGGATCCAGGTCTGAGAAGTCTGGGATAGATGCTCAATCTGTACCTATGTGATTGTTGAAGGCTTAAGGATTTGATTTGTTTTTTGGGTTTTTTTTGGGTCTGGTCTTGGGGCCTGAACTCTGGGCCTGGGCGCTGTCCCTCAGCTCTTCAGCTCAAGGCTAGCGCTCTACCACTTGAGCCACAGC